AATTTTCGCTGTCACTGGGATTTGAACTCTAGACCTGCCACTTGGGGGTTGACAACCTATCCACTTTACTAGGTCACTACACCCCTTACTAAAGTTTAGATTGGCATTAAAGTTAGTTTGTATATATATTAATTTAGATTTTTATTTTGGTTTTTAGATTCAAAAAATAGATAATAAATGTGTTGATAATATATTTAATTATCCTTAAGCTTTAACATTACATATTTTTTAACAATTTAATAATTCAATTATTATGGTTTGGAATACAGTCAATATTAATATGCCAACTTTTGCACAGTTTGTATTTTTACTTTCTAATGGCATATTTATTTGTACCTGTATAATAATTATTTCTTATAGAATATTATATCAACATTATTTATGAGTCATAATTATATGTTTGTCAGTTATATTTTATATAAATATAATACATTCTCAATAGTTTAAAGATACAATCAACAATAATAAAATTGAACAATCAGCAATGATCTCAATTTCTCAATTTGATATTAGCAATCACAAAGTTGATGTACAATCTAATTATAATGCTCAAACCAAACTAAATACTATTTCATTGCTATGTATTGGTATTAAAAATTAGATCAAAACTCTGTTAATTATCAAAATATTCAAAAAAAGTATTATATAAATTATGCAAAGATCAAACAATGAATATTATATGATAAACTTTAGAGTGTTGCTTATAAAACCATAGAAATTGTTACAAATTCTGAAGATTACAGTTTTTTAGAAATACTTAATAACTATATAAATCAATCTACACACAATTCAAATAAATCTTAATTAAATATTTTTATTAATAAGAATCAAGTTATAGAAGAAAGTAGCAAAATCAATCAAATTCAAAATTCAATTAAAAAACAAAGAAAAAGAAGACCTTTAGGAAGATCTGCAAAAAAATCCTATATATAAAGTAGTTTAGAAAAAGAAAATTTAACTATGGTTTCTCAAAATATTAACAATAATACCTCTAATATTAGAAAATACAAATATAATCTTTGTAATTCATTTTTTCATACAAAAGCATAATGTTCAAATAGGCAACTACTACAAGAACTTTATTGTGAATAACAAACCAAATAGTAAAAAATAAGAAACTACTATATGCATATAAGTTATTATTTTATATATAATTATTGATAAGAAGTATATTAAGCTTAGAATTCTTATTTTTATTTTAGCTGCATAATTCATTTTAAGCATATTTAAATTAATTTATCTTTAATATTTTGTGTAGTTTATAAAACCATATTATGATGTAAAATTATTAATTCTAATGTCAAATCTTTTATAAAATTAAAAATGATATTGTGTAATTATTATACGATTGATTTGTATATAAATATAAGTCTTTATTATATCGATATATAACATATATCAAATTAGTTTTTAATTTGTTAACCTTAAGCTAAACCAAAATAATCCCTAGCAAAACTTTAGAGTTAGTGTAGGCTGAAATTATATTGATGCCAGCCAAAGGTTTTTAATTGATTAGTTTAATCTGAATCAAGTTAAGAGTCTAGCATCATTATTGTAAAAAATTTTGCTAACTATATGATCTTATTGAAAAATTGTTTTACAATTAGTTTAGAGTTAGAGTCTCATCAATAGAGTAATGTTTGGTTTAAAGAGTTATAGTTATAGTAAATTTTACAAGAAACTTCTTTTGTTAGTATATAGCAAGTATTGTATTATATGAGATCTTAAAATCTGATTGGGCAGCAAAATTTTTTTACAGGTAATTTAAAAGTAGAGTATATGATTTTCAAATTATATATAAAACTTTTGGTAACTTTTTATTTAATTAAAAATAGAAAAATATTTTC